AGACAAATACATCAGACAGTTGAAGCTGAGCACAAACCCAAGTTCTCCCAAAGTCATAACCCAAAGCTGTTTTGACCTTCCTATAAATGACTGATAAAAATAAGCAGATTTTGAGTTTACTGAACAAATCCTTGCAAGACACCTCCCACAGAGAGACACACAATCCCACCCAAGGTATGCCTCTCCTCCAGCTGTAACTTGAAAAAGAAATTTAAAAGAACACTTTGCATATGCTTTACCTGATTTAAAAGTGTGCGGACGTCATAAAAGCCAATGAAGGAACCGATCTCACTGGACATCATACAGACGGACAGTGTGAGATTATCACAGCTCAGAGCCAGGTGTTGCACAGGAAACTTCATGGGGACTGAAGTACTCTGAACATTCTCCACTTAAAACACAAAAGGAAATGAAGGGGACAAATTTAAATAGTGAGAACTGTTCTTTTAAAACAATACCGTTAGAACGAGTTCATGCAAAAATCACTAGTCCTATGAACAGCAGCTGTCAAAGCTGACACAGAAAAAGTGAGTGACTGCAAACTCCTTCATCTCTATCAACACAGTCTCAAGAGTTGCCAGATTCCTAAGAAAATTTCACTTTCAGTCCTCAGTAACCTAGAGGAAAAATAAGTGGTCAGATTTTTGGTTTTATTTATGCATGCACATGAATACCTCAGGTACAGTTTGTAAGGACAATGGGAGAAGGAAAACCATTTTGCACTTTGATGGTGGAATAGTGACTGCCTTCTCTCTTGCAGGACAGTCACTTAGAGTGGGTAACTCAGTGCAAGAACCCTGTTCCTCCGCTCACACACGTCCCTGACACAAGCACAGGTCCACAGCTCAAAGACTGGCTACCAAGACAGTGTGTAGCTGCAAGGAGAGGAGTAGGAAAAATCACCCTCACTGTATGGCAGTGGACACAGGTGACAAAACCGGAATGATGCTTGAAAAGAAGCTAGCACAGAGCATCCTGGTGACTTGTTCCCAACTCCATTTCAGCTAAAGGTACAGCAAATATTGTCCCTGCCTTCTCACATAAGAAAACGTGGTAATTTCAAATGCTCAAAAGAGCATAACAAGGACTCTGTCAGAAGCCAAGACCTCCATGTCATAAAAACCCATATAAAGCTGTCTCTGCAAAGACCACGAGACACAAGTGTGCCTTACCGATTTTATTGGGATCTTCTCCCGGCTGGTTTTGCATGAGAAGATTTCTGGTGTGGAAGATCTGCAGGCTGGTTCCTCCACCAGCAAAGACGAGCCCGTATTTGTTAGAGACCGCAAGGAGATTGGAGCGCTCTTTGGGAAGATCCTCTGGAGCATCAAAGATGCGGACCTTCTTCAGTGCTCTGAACTGAAAGTCCTGTTGTAAGAGAGTTGGGAAGTAGCTGTACATACACTGGCAAAGAGGAATAGTTTACTTCTGTTTCTCTAAGATGGTAAGTTGAAAAGCCTTTCCACAAGAGCTGCAAAACACCTGCCAAGGCAGAGTCCACACCCACCCTGTCACTGGCCATCCCATCACATTTTCTGTCTCATCTCAGAAAGACTGAGATCAAACCACATTTTTTCCATCGGCTGAGTCTCTCCTCTGCCCAGTGCCCATGGTTATAAAACCTGTAGGAGCTGAATGTGTCCAGAACATCTGACCTTCTCAGAAACATGCCAAATTAGTCAACAGATACAGAAAAAGAAAGAAAGAAAAGGGAATAAGGCAGAGATACAACATGATTGAACAAAACTTGTAGCCACAAAGCTGCAAAGCATACATCTGCTTAGATGCATCTTTCTTTGCTGTTGTAATTTATGACAAACAGAACAGATATGGTTATTCCTGCCACCCAGCCCCAGTAATTACTATATATAATCAGACGGGGTTTTTGGCCTTTGTTTCTCTCATAATTTACATCGTCCTTTTGTAAAGGGAGGAAGAGAAAAACAGTGTGAGAGATAAAAACTGCAAAAAACACAAACTGAATTAAGAAACAGCAGTTGCACTGTTGCCATGCAAAACCTGAGGTTCCCCTTAGGAATGAGTCTCTCTTCCCAAGGTGCAAATTACTGAACAGAACACTGGATCTAATGCCAGAAACTCAAACGAGGCACCTCAGTTTTATTTCCAAATAATTGCCAAAGCACTGAGTAAGTACATTCCTGCAACCTGAGGAGGCTGCAGGAACTCAGAAACTTCTGCAAAACAAACAGCCCAACTCCCTTGGTCTTGACAGTGCCTTCACAGAAAAGCAGCTGCACAAAGACCCAGATGGGCTTCAGGAATCTGTCCCTCCACGTCCCTGCTTATACAGCCTCACAATAACACTCAGGGAGACACAGCAATGGGCTAGGCTGGCACCACACAGCGAGACTACAGTTTACACCATCCAACAGGAGACAACCACACATGTTGTTCCCAAAAGCAGGAGGCTCCCAGCACAAGGCATACTGACAGGAGCCCCAAAAATAAGGTTCCTCCAACTCTCACATTCTGCCGCTCTTCCCCCAGGCGTTACCAACACTGCTGTCCATCGCAGGCCATCCCAGCCTCTCCCTCTTCCACTCCACAGGCTTGTACCAGACTGCTGAAAAGCCTACAGGTGCTTCAGAAGCCCTACAAGGATGCCTCAAAAGGCCCCTGCCATGACCCGAGGCCACACCACCACCCCACACCTACCTGTCAGCCCCACAGACCCAGGCCAAGTTCCCCCCATAGCCTACCACCCCCCACAGCCCAGGCTAAGCCCTCCCCAAGCCCCATTCCCCTCACGGCCCGAGTCGAGCCCCCACCACGGCCTGCCGCCCTCCTCAAGGCCCAAACCAACACCCCCGGCCCGTGCTAAACAGCCTGTCAACTCCCCCACCGCCCGAGGCCGCCACCCACCACCGCGGGCTGGCCCCTCACAGTCCGCCCGCTCTCCCCTCGCCCCTCACCTTCATCTCCCGCTCCGGGATCACGTACATATCGTCCCCCATGGTGGCGCCGGCAGCCCCGAGGCCCGCGGTCCCCGCCGCCCTGCGCACAGCCGGGAAACCCCCGCGCGCCCGCCAGTGCGCTCACTTCCGCTTCCGGCGGGGGCCGCTCTAGCCCCAGCTCTCGGTGCTCCGCGGCGGCCTGAGTCCTCCAGCGGGCAAGGCGGAGGGCCCGGGGCTGAGGGATAAACGGCGAGGCTGCATCCCACGGCGAGGCTGAGCCACCGGCTGTGTTTAATAAAGCCTTTGTTTTTTTTTCCTGACCCGGCTGTGTTTAATAAACCCTGATGTTTTTTTTCCTGGCCCGGCTGCGGTGGGTGCTGCAGGCCTCACTCTCTCCAGCCTGGTGGGGCTCTCCCCGGAGACCCTGAGGGGACAGACCCCGCTGGGGGTGAGCCGTGGCTGCCGGCAAGCAAGTTCTCCCAGCTGTGGGATGGTGGGGGCTGGCGGGCCCCGCTCCAACCCTGTCCATCAGCCCCTGGTAAGGCCCTTCGGTGCTGTCTCCACAGAGACCCAGAGATCCAGTGTCACTGCAGCTCCAAGGAAACCCCAGCCCCTCAGCACTCGGTCTGGTGCTCAGGGCCACCAGTTACTTGTGGCTGAGCTGAAACAAGGATGTTCTGTGAGCAGGGACAGCCTTACTGTACTCCAGGGCCGTGCAAAAGCAGCGTGTGGTTTCTCAGTCCCAGCAGGACCTGGGTTTCATAGAATCATAGGATTGCCTGGGTTGGAAGGGCCCTTTAAGATCATCTAGTCCAATCATCAGCCTAACTCTGATGAAAAACCGTCATTAAACCATGTCACTGAGCACTATGTCAAAACGTCTTCTGAATACCTCCAGGGATGGTGCCTCAACCACTTCCCTGGGCAGCCCATTCCAAGGCTTAATAACTCTTTCAGTGTAAAAATTTTTCCTAATATCCAATCTGAACCTCCCTTGGTGCAACTTGAGGCCATCTCCTCTTGTCCTATTGCCTGTTACCTGGGAAAAGAGACTGACCCCTGCCCTTCTGCAACTCCTTTCAACTATCTCCTTTCAGGTAGCTGTAGAGAGCAATAATGTCTCCCCTCAGCGTCCTTTTCTCTAGGCTGAGCAATCCCAGTCCCCTCAGCCTCTCCTCCTCTTCCCCTGTTCCCTCCTGCCTCAAATTCAGGGGTTCAGCCCCCCCTGAGAGTGCCAGCACAGAAGGTGCATCACTTTGGGGCAAGGACACATTGAGAAAGGCTGTTTCCATCTCTAGCAGGTTGCGCTTGTCTTTTCCAGGACCAGAAGGACAAGGATTTCCACAGATTCAAAAGCAGTGATGGCTCTGGGCAGCCACCTGAACTATGGAAACCACATCCAAGTTTCCCTCATGTAATACGCTCCCTTTATTTTCTAACTGAACAACAGCTTTAACACACACAGCCCAGAAAAGCAGGTGCATTCCCAGAGGCTACCAGGCAGCAGAAGGCAGACACAGGGTTCTGATCTAAGGGCAATTCTGTCCTTTTGAGGAACACACAGAAAAAGCATACCCAGTCATTCCCCGAGGAAGCCTAGTCTCCATTTTGATATACCAGACAGAACCTCAGGCAATTGCTTCAAGAGCAAAGAGGTTAAAAAAAAAAAAAAAAAACCCAACCAACCTTTTTTAAGAGAAGCATTACAAGTGCCTGCTCTTGATAAACAAGTTATTCCTTAAAACAAGCACCACCACCTGCTTTCTTTCTTTAAGTCAGGAAAAAAAAGACAGCTTTCAGGAGTTGGCCTCTGCATTTCATAACATAAACTCCATGGCACTCGGTCAGTTGCTACAGATAAAGATCAGATCAAGGCAGTCCAAAGCTATCTCCAGGATCTAGTTAAGGGTTTATATTAACAGACTTGGGGACCAGCTCACTTAATCTACAACCAAGCATACACCGGCAACTGTGTAGCTTCAGAAGATTTATTTTTCAGTCCTTAAAGTAGACTAGTACTGCTTTTGCTTATAATTTTTCCTCTCCATTACAGTTTTGGTTTTCACGCAAACAGTAGTCAGAATGTTGTTGTTGGTTTTTTTTTTTATTTAAAAGTGCAGCCTTTGGCAGGAACAATCAGCCTAGTAGAGTTAATCATCTGTATTTCCTTTAAAAAAATTATTTATTAAACCGTGATTTAAAAAAAAGTTAAAAGCTGCCAAGAACATTTAAGAAAAGAGTAGGGAAAGGGCAAAGAGCAAACATCTGGATTCCAGAAATTGTGCATAGAGCAAGAATCCCTGCAGTAACCAGAGTGCGGATAGCACAGTCCCAGCAACATCTGGATCCCAGCTCGTACTCCACACTTAGAGCCGTTCTTATTTTGCAGACTTGAGGGCTCATCCATCAGGGAAACACACTCGATGGCCCAGGGGACCATGCTGAAACACATACAGGGAGGTCTGCACAAATCAGAGGGAGAGAGCAGCAGCGTGAGGACAGATGCTCATCTGCAACTGGTCTGGCAGGGCTCACAGTTTAGTCACCCAGCTTCCTTTCACCTGAAGGTTGAATTTCCCCTAGACCTTCCTGGGGGGCTGCACAGGCAAAACAGCAGGCTCATTCCTGCACTCAATGGGCAGGAGAGACAACCACCTCTTCGGAGGTTGGCCTCCTGATGGGCTCTAAGTAGAGATTTCTCAGGAAGGGGACCCCTAAGGCAGCTTTAAACATCCTCACTTGCAGTGGCTGGTGTTGGACCCACTGAGATCTGGCTGCAGATGAACCCACAGAGCAGGCAGAAGCTGCCCCTGTGATCAGCCATGCCCACCTCCAAGCTTAAATGCCCTGCAGGCAGACCTCTGGTGGCCAAGCACACCTCTGGTGGCCACTCACTTTCCCACATTCACCTAGCAGGTGACTAGGCCACAGAGGTGGGAGCCTGACTCATGTTTTGGTGAGGTCAGGAGGGGAAGAACTAGTCCAAAATCAGGAAGCGTAGGACGGAGCAGAGAAGGCACTTATTTCCAGCAAGGCCCTGTAGGAACCTGTTGTGACAAGCACAGCTCTGAATCCACATGCTGGGAGGAAAGTAGCTCCTCGTCTGAGAGATGCAGGAAGGGCAGAGGAAAGAGTAAAAATCACAGGATTTTTTTTTTTTTTTTGGTCTCACATTACACTTGGTGCTACAGCTCCTGTCTAACAAATCAAGTTGGCTAAGGGATGCAGCAGAAAGACACGAGCTGGGCGTCTCCAGCTTCCCTTGCTGTTCCTCTAAGGCAGGTTAGTTGAAAACTAGGACTGTCCACAGTAAAGAGTAACAAAGCACAGGTAACCTCTGTTACAGACCAGCAAAGCAAACAGTGCCAGCGTTTCAGCCCGTCCTCTTCAAGGGAGGCTGGCTATGTCTCTCTCTGGAGGTGGACCAGAAGGTTTTGGGTTGCTTTCATTGGCTTTTCCTTCAAACATCATGACCCTGCAAAATACAACAGACAATAGCAGTGAGAAGAGCAGGTTGCATCTTTACCCATCGCTGGGGGGAGAGGGGGAATTATCAGCTGAAAAAATAGCATCTGCTTTCTATGCAAAGGGCACCCGACAGTTAATGGAGGGAAAGCCAAGAGATGGCAGTGCTGCCAGCCTGGCAGCAGCTCTGCTTTTCCAGCAGCTTCCAGGAGTGGGTTCCCAAAGTGGTTTTCCTCTCAGAGCCCAGAGGATTAGCACGTTTTATTTAGACAGCCACTTCCGAAATCCCCTGGGCACACACTGCATGCCAAGTGCTCCTGATGCACAAAAGCAAGTACCTTCCCTGGCCCACCTTGTAATAACCACAGAGCAGAACAGTCAAAAGCCAACATCGAGCAAGTGACAGCAACTACAGCCGGGGAAGAGGGCAGAGACAGGGAGCAAAGCACTGGCTAGAGGAATCCTAAGCATTCTGCAACCACCAGCACTGTCTTCCTCCCCGAGGACTGCAGCTACGCGGGGAATGCCAGCTGCCACGCTGGATCAAAGGACTGCACCGCTCTTGGGACGAGTTTTACATTTCTGCTCCTGCTCCAAAGAGTCCAACAGACAATGGGGCGTCTGTTAGCAAGAGAAGGGACCCATCTGTGAAAGCTGCTGCAGTTGGGAGGAAGGATGGAAGATACGGGACAGGCTGCAGGCTCAGCTTGCTTCCACAGAGAAAGAAAGGAGGAGCAGGGATGACGGAAGTCTGCGTGTGCCTGGAAGAGGAGCATCCCAACAGGCAGACAGAGGGCACCCAGTGGGGAGAGGTGAGACTCATCACCAGCAAGCACATACCAGCTTAGAGAGACCACGTGAGAGGTGGGAGCAAGATCTTTCCCCCAACCTGCCCTGGAAGCTGGCTGTGCCTCTAAAGCTGCCTTCAGAAAGGGGTAAAGGGAGATGGAGAGGAGCCGCTCCTATTCATGGTGGTTACAGACACAAAAGCAAGGCCAGCCTCTGTGGCTGTGAAAGGAAAAGCCAGGCTTCAATGGGGTGGAGATTGAGCCAAGCAAGTGTTTGGAAGCCATTTGTTACAGCAGGACTTTCAGAGCCCTGTCGAGAGGGCAGAGGGGGCCGTGGGAGGCTAGTGCTGGCAGCCTGTACTGCAAAAAACCTCTCCCAGCACAAGCCAGCTGTTTCAAGCATGTGTCCCGTCTCCATCTACTGCCCGTCTCTCCGACATCAGGCAGCAAGGGAGCATCCTGCAGGAAACAGGAGCCAGCCAACTGGTGTTGGCAGGACCATCATTTACTGCTCAAGCCCTGCCACCGTTCACAGAGGGAGCCTGTGTCCCCAAAGCCAGCAGGAGCCACAGGGAAGAGCCGGGAAGAAGCCCCACAGTGCTGAGTGCCTGCACACCCTCAGGGAGAGGGGGAGAATCGCTCTGCTCGGAGCACGTGGGAGGAAGCCTGTGCTAACACACAGCAGGCAGCTCCGCTGGCAGCACTCTCCACTGCTCAGCCCAGACAAACTTATACACCCTCTCGTGTCTCTCTGCAAACTCCCCCTTCACGAAGATCCTCGTCTCCCCTCCACAAACACCAAACATCCACAGCTCCACCTCCAGCAGGCAGAACAGCTTCTGCCCCCGGCTCCCCCAACACACCACCAGCTCAGGTCCTGCATCTCCCCAGCTCCCACCCAGGGACACTCACAGTTTAAGCACAGCAGAGCGTTTCCCAAGCATGACGTTGACAAAGTCCTGGTACGAGATGGTCTCGCTAACCCCTCCCGTCACCTCAGAGATCATCTTCTTCAGTTCTAGGTGGGTCTTCGGGGCCCCCATCTTCTCCATCATCCTTTTGACGGACATCAAATCTGCAAAAGCAAGGCAATTGGTGCTGTCGAGAGGTTGGCTGAGAACAGACCAACCCCAAGGACACAGGCATGAGTTCCCATCACCTGCAGACCCTGAGACCAACAGCCCTAAGCTGTTGCTGGAAGCCAAGAGAAGCCTTCCAGTACAACCTGCTGCTGTGCTGCCCAGCACAGAGCATCATTTGTGCAGCTGAAGATAAAAGCACCAGACACACAGAAGAGGGACAACTCTCCAAGCACTCCAGAGACACGTGGGGACACTGCTCTCTAGTTCAGAGCGTGGTGCCAAGAATCACAAAGACTGGGAGGAGGGAAGCAACACCGGGGTTAAGGCTGGAGACAAACAGTCTGTGGGGAGCGGGCGCCCCTGCCCATCACCACAGGCCATTTCCTTCCATTGCTCCGCTGCCTGCTGAGACCTGCGGCCCCTTCCCTCCCGGAAAAGGCAGAGCAGCCCTGAGTCAGGCCCCCTCCAGCTCCCCACAGGCTTTACTTCGGCTGGAGGACTGGTGGAGGAGGGGAGAGAGGCAGCAGCCTCCTGGAAAGGCGCAGCATGAGAGTGATTCCACTTCAGGGCCTGGAGAAGGCTGGATCTTTACGTAACCAGCGCTTTCTGGGCCCAAACCAGGGCTGCTCAGCTGAGCCAGACTCACACCCAAGTCCCCTGCTTCCCTCCCCTCTCTTCCCAGCAAAGCAAAGCACTTCTCTGCACTAGAAGTGCTCATGGTTTTATACAGCTTCTGCTTCAAGCCAGGAAAAACCCAGGATTGTCCAAAGCCCTGGAGCTTCCCAGCTCTGGAAATGCTGAGGATTGAGAAAGCAGCCTCAGTGGAGAAACAGGGAGAAGGGGGGAAGAAAAAAAAACAAACAGCATTTAGAGCAGAAAGAAGTGGAGGAACTAAGCAAAGACTGAGGAGGAAAACAGGGCTGAGAAGAGCTCAGATCTTAAAGCAGGTGAGGAGAGACCGAGAAAGCTGAGAGGCAGGAGCTGGAGAGCCAAGGAAGCTCCTGGCTGGGGATGAAGAGCCAGGCAAGGCTGGAGGCAGGAGCAGCCCATGGGTTTTCCTCCCCAGCAGCAGCGCAGAGGGAAGCAGCAGATAGAGCATCAGACACTGCCTCAGCAGGTGGTTGCTCTTCCAGCCCCACACCAGCATCCCTGAGTCACTCACCAATCTCGCCTTGGTTGTTCAGGTCAAACTCCATGTACTTCTCTGGAAGAGACACAGAAGCAAGTTAGCAGGATGCTAGAGCAGGGGGTGTGGGGGGCTTTGGAGTGCTGCCTGCTTAGAGCAATGAAATAAGAGTGGGTTATCCCCTGATGCTGTAACTATTGCTATAGTGCTGAACACAAACAGTTCAGAGAGGGAGACCATCTCAAAACCTGTTTTTAGCACCCTTATCTCGATTCCAGGGCTCTAGAGTTAAGTGCTCTTTAATTGTGCCTGCTTTTCACTTAAGCTGAAGGAAAACACTGGCATGAGAACAAGGTATCAGCTAGCTGTGAGTAGCGTTAAAAGGTTTCCAGCCAAAAAAACAAAGCTCTGGAACAGCCTCCCAGAAGGAGTAGCAAGGAAAACAAACCCCTGAGTGCTCCCAAGATGAAGCTTGATCGGATTAGGAGGGGGATTAAATGACGTAGTTGACTCCAGTAGCAAGGGAACAGGCTCTGTGGTCCTCCCAACGCCGTGCTGCGCTCCCAGAGCAGCACCTGCCAGCAGAGATGCTCAAGGACCACATCAAGAGGGCAAAGCCAAGAACATGCCCAGGAGCAGTTACGCTGGAGCAGGTTGTTTGCCCTTCCAGCCTGCTGCCAAACATTGCTCAATCGGGCAACTCCAGCATCTTCAGAGAAAGGCAAGAGCCTGTGCAAGAAGGTCTGGTTTGCTTTGCAAGATAAAAGCTCACATGCTGTAACAGAGAGAACACTGATTTGAGTTAGAAAAATCAGGATTTCAGTCCAGTGCTGCTTCTGACCTTTGGAATGGCATACCTGTGTGCTTCCTACTCCCCACCCCCGCCTTGCTAGCTCTTCCCCATTTAGACCTTAAGCTCTTCAGGCAAGGATTTGTCTGTCTTACAGCCAATACAGCTCCTAGCACCGCAGGGGGGCCCCCATCATCTCAAGTTCTGCTAAATGAGAAAAGCAAGATGCCTGCTGCCACCATCCATCCACGCTGAGCTGGAGAAATCTCCACTTGCCCTGCAGTTACCGCTCACTCCCCAGAACAGCCTCGGAGGACTCAAAATAAGTGAGAGCTCCCAGGCTGCTCCTTTCCCCCCCAAGGGAAAAGACCTTTTGCCTCTGCTGCCAGGACACCAGCAAGCAGATGAGCGTGAACAGAGGAGCGGCAGGCTAATTTAAAGAGCCAAAGGGAAGAGGGGATATTTCACACATCGGAGCCCTCCCAGGACCTGTGCTTCTGCAGGAAGGTGCTGGGTTAGCTGGACTGGTGGGCAGCTCCAGGCAGGAGGCAGAGGAATGGCTTGGCATGCCTTCACCTGGGTCTCACCTGGTGGATTATAACCATCATGAGCTGACCAAGACAGACCTACAGGAGCAGCAGGTACAAGCTGAGGCCATTCATGCTTCAGGCAGGAATAAATGTCTCCCTTCAAGCAACCAATCCTAGATGAATTTGGGGCTGTCACACACGTGCTTAGGGGCCAAAGTGATGCTTCACGTGGAACTGGCTCTCCCCACACTCTGCCCCACTGTAAGGACTTTGTGCAAATGAACCACCACCCCCTTGGGCAGGGGTCAGGCACCTCAGCATGTGCTTGGGGACACACACCCTGCTCTGCCGTGTCCGTGCCCAGCACATGTTTTCTTTTCTTCTCAGCTGATGCTTAGCCCAACGCGCAGAGAACAGAGGCAGCTTTACATCACCGTGCTCTGAGCCCTCAGCTCGCACATTCATCTCTCCCTCCCATCCCAGCTGCAGGGATTTGGTGGGGCAAAACCCACCCATGGTCCCTCCCCCTCACAAACACATTTACACCAACACTGCACGGGGGCTCCCTGGGCTGGGCTGGGGAGGGCAGGGGGAAGGACAGCAGAGAAGAAACGCTCCCCCCCCTCATCATCATCACACAATGAACTGATTGTTGGAGGAGCCAGAGGAGGCGTTGGAGAGTGGGACAGGCCACGGAGGCAAACTCACGAGGCAGCAGGAGGAGATGCCAAAGGCTCTCGTTACAGGGAATTCTGCGCCTGTGACCTACAGTCGCAATGTTTGAAGAGCCCCGATTGTGATGGGAAAAATAATGCGGGGCTGCAGCCAAAAGCCAAAGCCACACAAAAGGCAACAGAAAAAAGGACGGGGAAGCACAGGAGGCTCCTCTGTGCCCAGCAGGGTAAGGGACCACAAAACCCCAGCCAGCTTCTTCCATGCTGGATTGGAGGCAAAGCCAAAATTCAAAAGGGACGTAGCAAACAATGCCTGAAATGGAAGCAAGGTCAGGCTTTATTTGGTTAGAGCCAGGCTGAGGCCAAACTTTGAGGGCACCATGACGTAGAAGGCATGTTTTCTCAACTGCCTTCAGCCACTGCTTGGAAAGAAAGTGGATGCACCCAGAACAACCCCGCCAAATCTTGTCCTGTAACCACTTCGGGGACAAGCTGCAGAGGACACCAGACTTTTTCTCTGTCCCTCATCCCAGCACATGGGCCAAACCTAAGCCCTAAGATCTGCTGACCCACTGGAGCTACGCTTTGGCCAGGGCTAGAGACACATTACTGCTGTTGCTTCTGGTACCAAGGGGAAGGACCAGATCAGACTGAAGAAACTTTCAGGGAGACAAAGTCCCCAAGTCCTTCAGGAAGCAGCTGAGACCTCAGCTCTGTGGGAAGTTGTCCTCCTCCTCACTGAAAAAAAAAGAGTTCAGCTACTGCATCGTCCATTGTAGCAGCTGGCTTGTCTAGGTATATCTAGACAGAAACTGTCCTCCCCTGCTGCTCCCCTGGGTTTTGCCCACGCAGCAGGTTTTGCAGTTAACAGCAGCCTCCAGGCAGAATGTCTGCAGGGTGACATGTCCCTGCCCTGCAAGTGGGGGAAGCACAAAGGCTCATGTGGGAAAATCACCTCTCTGAGGAGTTTCACCAAGTCCCACAAGCAACAGGGAGGCATCCATCCCAGCTCAGTCACTTGTGTTTGGCAGAGAATGTCAAGCTGGTAAGATCCAAGTGCTGAGGAAAAGAACCTGTTCAGAGCTAACAGTCGGGCTGAAAGGACAGGGGAGCCCTCAGGTCTCACCTTTGAACACTGCCAACTTTGTCTCCAGATCTTCTTCATCGCTGAACTTTGGGTCACAGAGTGATTCCTAAACCAAAAGAAGAAAAAAAAAAAAAGAAAAAAGTATCCCCAAGGTTAAAAATATCAAGGCAAACACCTAGAGGGCACGTACGAATGCAACATCAGCCAGAAGACCTATGCAGTTCCCAGAGAGCCACATCCCAGCAACAGCACCAGGAAACTCGAACATGGATTGAATCCCTCCACACCTTGTCATTAACATTCCAGTGCAAGGGGAATGCCTCTGGTGGCTCAGGTTTACAACCAACAGCTTGAGGGAGGAAACCAACAGCCTGAGGGAGGACTGGACCCCATGTGCCTTTGGAATAACTGCACGAAACCCCCATCTTCTTGCTCAGCCAAGGTTTCAGCTCCCCTCATCTCTGCTTAAGCGCACACAGCTTAAGCTGGGCCCCTATTCCCAGCAAGGGCTCCCATTCCTTGCAGAAAGCACTCTGATCTCAGAGATTTCAACCTCTTGGATAACTCTGAGGGGTGACAAATAGAACAGGGAAAGATTTCAGAACAACAGGCACCCAAGAAAGGATAGTGGGGGGAAAGAACAGGGTTCCCCACTCTCTCAAACTCTCTATCCATTTTCCCCCTGTCCTGCACAGGCTGGAAAGGAAATCCTAGGTCAGTTCTGGCCACTCGTCCCTAGCTCCACCTCAAAAACCTTCAGGTACCCAAGAGAACAGACCTCAGCTTGCCCGGCCAGCTCCACAGCTATGCCCTGCCAGCAACACCCCCCCCGCAGCTGCGAGCAGCAGGGTCTCTGCCCTCCCACTCCACCCAGCTCCAGCCAGCCCAGCACAGCTTAATAGCTTGGTCTGTGTTCAGCAACAACACCACATTCTTCGGCGTAGAAATCATTAACATCTGCACAGCTTGTGCGTGGCCTGTCCAGGATAAAAAACCCCTCCAGGGTTTAGAGTGGATAGAGGGCTGAGGTGTGTGTTCCTCACCACTGTTGTCCACGCTCACAAGGAAGCTCACAGGAGGAGGTCACCACGAGACTAAGATCTCTGGAACTGGTAGTACTGGGGCAGCACCATTTGTGATGGAGAGCACATCTCCCAAAGGAGCCCCACCTGCAGGCACATCAGGACTGCAGGAGGTCCACACAGCCATCACTAACCCAAATGCCCTCAGCCTCCCGAGCATCTTCTCATTTCTTCTGGAAGGAAGACAAACCAGCTATCCCCAGGTGTGATGAGCTGGGCCAGTCCAGCTGTGGGGCCAGCTCTGCCAGCACTGCAGCCCCCAGCCAATGCCTGATTTCTGCCTCCCCAGCCCCAGCTTTTCATGCCCAGTCACTGCCTGCCACCCTAACCCTCTGGCACGTCCTCTGGTCCCCTCCAGCCCATGTGCCTGCAGTGGCTCCCTCCTTCCTCACCAGGACAGGGGAGCCTGGACGTGCCCAAGGAGTCCAAACCTTCACTGCCAGCTAGCCACCCCTTGGGCGAGTGCTTTCTGGGCAGCTGAACTAAGGCTTTGTAGGAAGCCCACAAGGGCAGACGTGACTGTCATCCCCTCCTCCCGTCTCACAAACTCCAGATGGGACACCCAAGACCATACCCACTAAACCAGCGTGACCCAGACTTCCCTTATCACCATGGACACCAACTCAAATTGAGAACTGTGGTGAAAAGCAATGTTCCCAGTTCCTTCTTTCGCTTTCCTTTGCCAATTCAATTTCATTTATCTCAGCTATTTCTACCCAGGGGTATCACTTGCCAGCCCAACACAAAGGGCCCAATTCAGCTTTGAGACCTGGGCTCAGGCAGCAGCAGAAGTCACCAGAGAGCAGAGTAGTGTTACCTACTGCCATCACCACTGAGGACCTGCTGTAGAAGGAACTTGCCAAACATTACTGAGAACCAAAACAGGGCCGAGGCATCTCCCACCACCAGGTCACAGCTTCATTCCTGCGCTGCAGGAAGAGCAGGCAGCTTCCTCCGACCAGCAGGGCAGGGGATGTGAAAGCAGAGCACTGTATTTCTCCAGGAACAAGAAGCAGCACAGAAATGGTGAAGACCTGAAGACCAAAGGCTACATCCATACAGGGCAGCTGAGGGACACACATCCAGGGGTGCAGGGTGGGTGACGCTGCGCGCACACCCCCACCATCCAGTCCCCTTGCATTTCAACTGGAGGGGAGCTGGGCAACCCACCAGTGTCACAGCTCTGCTCCAGACTGGAGGAAGCAACAGGGGGGCACATTTCAAAGGCATTCCCACCCTCCACATTGTATGCAAGCCCGGCTGTGGCTGCGATAAGGCAAACACTCACAATAGCACACAGGAATTCAGTCCCCAGGGCCAGTGACTCAGACTCAGCCCCAGTGGCTGAAGTTCCTCTTAGAGCCCTTTGCTAAAGCTCCCATTTGAAGGGGCACGTTCTATTAATAAGAACTGCTTAATAAGCCCCAGCCTCTCCCCCGCTCCTGCCCTGAACAGCCTTTCTTGGGCAGAGAGACTTTTCTAAGCCAATAAATTCAGCCACGCACGTCCCAGCTACCTGCAAGGCAACGTGAGCAAAGCCAAATCCTTCCTTGCTCCCCAAAAAAGGCAGCTCCAGCCAGCAGGCCAAGCTCTCACCGGGCTGTTTAGGTGCCTAATTCCAGCCTCCCCGCATGGATGGGCTGGGAAGGGGCTGAGGGATGCTTGTGCCTGCCCTGGATGGAGAATCAGGCACCTGCTCACCGGCAGCAAGAATTCCTTCCCCACAGCCCAGAGCATTAGAGGGTAAAACTAGGTTGAAACTAATCTGTGCTGGATTAGACTTGCCACCTTGATGCACGAGGCTGAACAATGTGATCGCCGTTCCCCAGGATGAGGGGAGCAGCCAAGAGGGGATCCCAGAGGAGCGTTTCAGGCTGGAAGAGAGAACTCGATGGTAGGACTCAGCTGTCCTTCGGCAGCACGTGTGCGCTCAGGACACCGCCTGCCAAAGACCCTGATCCCATCGAGAGCTCTGGGGTAGAAACCAGCCAGGAAAACAGGGCTGGGAGGGACCTAATTGTTAGGATGAGACAATGAGATTAAGTCTGATAGGAATTCGGCCTGATGGGTTTTATCAGAAGCACTTTACAGATTTGCAGCCCTGGGACTTTTCAGGGTTTGGGAAACCCCCTCTCTGGCTCCAGCCACAGTATCAGCCCAGGTTTAAATATCAACTCTGTGCCTGATGGAAGTGTGAGCCACTTTGCTGCGTGCCCTGTCACAGCAAACTCCCAGCAGAGGAGCAGAAGCACAGCAGCACTGGGTTTGCTGCCCAGAGCTGCTCCAGCACAACAGCTGCTGGGGATCCGTGGGCAGCCACCACCCGTGCAATCTGCTGCTTGATTTCTAACTGCTCAAATCCCTTCTCCTCGCACTGAGCCAGCCCACGGGGCAGCAAGAAAGCAAACAAGCAGCTCCCACCTCCATCAGCAGGATGTAGCTCGTTTCATTTTTATCATCCAAACCTCACCCAGAGATAAAGCCTGCCAGAAGTGATGGCTACTTAGGGGAGAGATAGGAACCTGTCCCCTGTGTGGGAGGAAGAAGAACCCTCAGCCCTAGGGCACAGCACTGGCACATCAGCAGTGTCTACAGCTCTGACCAGCTGAAGGATCACGTATCCACCCTGTGCCCAAGTGATGCTGGAGGACAGCTCTGAAGCTGCAGCAATAGGTACAACACACTCCCTTCCTCCCCAGCCCAAGGGTCAACACTGCCTTGGCTGTGGGAGACACTTTAGACCCACCTACGCGCCTCCATGGCACAGGGAGCGACGTCTGCCTTCCAACAGCAGGTTTTAAGGGCTCCTTTTTAAGCCAAGTCCTCCTATTCTACACCTTATTCCACAGCACCTCTTTTCCCACTCTCATTCCCCAGCACCTCCTGGTTTCTAATCAGGTAATTCCCTCTCCAGTGACCTACATAAACTTCACCTCTACTGCCTCACCCCTGCCTGGAGGAACATATTGGCACTTTTTACTGTCAATGCGAGGGCAAGGCAAGCCCACCATCTCCTCCAGGTTCTCACCTTTTGCAGCTCTTTGATTTCTCCACCTGTAACACCAAGGTGCCTCCGGCTGTATCAGCAAGTCACCACCAAACCTACCTAGAAATCCCGTGGTTGATTGTTTCAAGGTTAAAACCTTCTTTCCACCCTCAGAATTGCCTTTGGCCGGGAGGGATGCCAACAGAGCTGCCCCCACAGGCCATGCCAAGCAAGGGACGGGGCAAACCCGCAGCTCCAGGGAGAGGACCTTGCCTGACCCTGGCATGAAGGGCACGAAGCCCAGCGCACTTTGCACTAATCCAGGAGCTGCCATTCCCCCTGCCCAAGGCTTGCAAGACATCCAACCGCCCTGGACTTCCCGTTCAACCACTACAATTAAAAACTAGAAAGGCTTCAGTCAGCTCTCCTGAGCAGCAGACACTCCTCGCTCCTGGAAGAAGAGGCTGAAGCGCTCGGGTAAGGCAGAGGGGAGCCTGGTGCTCTCCAGGAGAACAATAGCTCCTAGTCTTGCTGGACCACGTTCCCCATGGACCTTTCGTGGTGGCCGCCCACTGAGCATCCACAGCCCCGGGACCTGCAACCCCACGGGCAAAGGGGATGGAGAGCAGCGCCCCCACCTGCCTCCTCCACCCGGATTCCCCTCCGAGGGGGGCACAGGCAAGCAAGGGAGGGGCCAGCTCCCCCTGACCCTACCTTCTCCCCCCATCTCCTCCACCCCATCCCGATCCCCACCGGGCGGGGGGTCAGCCCCACCGCGGCCGCCCCCATCCCCATCCCGCCCCGTCGGGTCCGGTCGAGAAGGAAGGATGGAGAGAGGGGGGGTTGAAGGGGGGGGGAAGGTGACCCCAGCCCCACCTTGTTGATCTCCTCCAGCCGC